TTTAGCAAACAAGTTCTGCCAGTGAACAATGTGTGAGGGGTCACTGCTGGCTCCTATCAGTCATAGGTAGTAATTTTTTTTCATGTTAGAACAGATTTTATATGAAATAACATGACAGTCCATGAAAGTTTGTTTTACAAATAATGCTAATATTGGTAAAGACAAATAGCTCACCTATCTTCAAGATTCGTAAGGTATTTTTCTAATTAATATTTTCAAACCTAACAAGTCTGTCCAGGCCCTTGAATACCTGATACATGAGTATTGTTTCATCAAATGATCAGAATGAGAATATTCTCTAACTTCAACCAATTTTTGGTCAAAATTTGAAAATATACCTCAGCTATATACACAGGGGTCTTTTTAGGTGTATAAAATCTATGTAAAGGTAGAACATCTCAAATATGGGGACACATAGGATTTGAGGCAAGAGTAAAACTGTTGCTGCCATTATACATTTCAAAATCTGAGCATCCTTTAGGTAGAGTAACACAAGGTAGTAACTGCTTGTCCAGGAGGCTCATCATGCTGTCCATAACAGATAAATGAGACAGATTTGTATGGCTGAGGGTGATTGAAGAGGAGGCTTCAAATGTATTTTCGAAAATCCTGGTTTGTAAAGKCTTACCACTTTAGTTACTAAATTCAGTGAGGATTAGGAGATCATATTTTGGCCCTAAATAAATAATGGCAATTTTRGGCTGTTCCTTTACTGTTGTAGGSATTAATGAAKAAACTGWACTGGCTATGCAGTGSTCAGGTGTTTTCTTGGGTGTTCCTKKAAGATTTTATTAGRCATAYACTAATATTTCCYGGTGTCTGATGGGGGARTGCAGTGAGGGAAGAAGAGAASSAGTCTYAAACTATTATTTACCTGATTCAATTCCCTGAAGCCCAGGCCTTGTGCAGGCAGTTCAGTGTGTGTACTGGGATTGGTATCGACACRGTCTTCACAGGACTGCATTGCTGTGACACAGATCTTTGTTAATAGAGCAGCCTTAATTAAAAAGTATAGAGTTCATTATGAATTTCTGCTTTGACCCTTAGAGTTTAGATTTGACTAATTCAGTGATTTCCCAGAAAAATAATTCCTCTTGGGAACTGCATAGCAGAGTTTGGAAATATATCTGGAGATGAATTTGATATGGGAAATTGATTACAAAAGAGGCAGGGACACAATCCTGGTGAATCCTGAATTACTCTGATAATCAGAGGTGAGGTGGCAAGGAGCAATCCCGGCTGAGCTGTCCCTGGGCTGTTCCTTCCTTGCTTGGGGGTTGTTTGCAGAGAAGCTGAAGTGCTGTAACAGCCTCAAGCTCCACTCAGTGATGTTGCCTCCTCTTTTTTTTTCCATGGCAGCTAGCTCATGTCCTTTGCAAAACTSAGAGTAGCTTAAGGCCATCATTTCATGCATGACTTGGTAAATTGTGCAAGGAAGAGCACTGCCAAATGAGGAGCTATGCCAGTTTTCAATAAGAGGGCCATCTGTGACAAAATGTTTTAGCAAGTTTGAAAACAATTGAGTTCTTTCCCATTTTTTACTTTGATTTCATTTAGCATGTAAGTAACTTTGCAACCTCCCAAGAGTAAATTTATGTTACTGTATCCTTGTTTGCTAGGCATTAAGTTTTTGTTGAGTCAAGTGGTTTCATTTCAGACCTGATCCTGTGTGGTACTGAAAAATGACTTTGCATCAATGTCACTTTTAATTCCTGTTGGACACATTTGTCAGGGTAGGTGAAATTCAGATATTTGTGGCAGATGAGAAGCATATAAATAAATGGTTAGTAGCTACAGCAATAGTCCCTAAATGTAAAGGTAATTTATTGCTGGAACTGGAAACATATTTAATTTGGAATGATTTCCAAGTAGCCTCTCTTCCTTAACCTAGCCAGTTACCTGTAATATCCCATTACCGTTTTGTTTCATAAAACTTAGGAAGTTGTGTTTAATGGAGTTTTCACGTAGCAAGGATTACTGAGGAAATCTGCAATTTGTTTGAGACACCTCTCAAATTGTCTTAAACTTTTGCCAAGAAGACTATCACCTCTGCTGAAAGTAGACTGCAATAATGTGACATCTAATGTATTAAATTTTTGGACTAATTTTGCTGGAATTTCATGAGAAGAATTTTGTTTTTTTTAAAGAGCATGATTATACATAGCTTACTTAACAGTGCTCTTTCTAAAAGCGAGAGGGTATAGAGTTGTTCTCCAGAATCTGGAGGTTTAATTTGACTTTTAATTTAGCAGTCTAACATGTCTGAGGTTCAGCATCTTTCAGCTGGCACAGTGAGCAAATAGAGAGCAAGTTAGTGTCACTCACTAAGGAGCCGGCAAGAGAGACAGAAATCTGCCAGACCATTGAACCCTGCTTTGGAAACACTGCTTGCACCTGATAATTTATTGGGCTGCTTGTTTCTATTGGTAAGTGCTCTCTGCAACAGGTAATTTTCAGAAAGAGGAAACCCTTTTGAAATTTAATATTATTATAGAAGGAATAGAGTGAGAAGAAAGTTCCTGACTTTTAAATATGTGTTTATGTAGGAGGCAGGCCTGATAGGGAAACCCCAGGCAGAAAACATCCTCAGAATTGCACAATTCCAAACTTCTTGAACTTRTGTTGTAGCTGTTTTTTAGAAGAGTGAAGAGCTGCCCATATGAAGACAGCAATTTAGGGATCAATCATCTGCCTTCCAGAATAAGTGCTGTCCATGAAAATGCTCAATGTGCTTCTTCAAACCAAATCAAAGTTCAGGGATGTTAATCTTTGTTACACTGCTTTTGAAGTAACTGTTCCCTTACACAAAACTTACAAGGGTTAGACACTTAAATGCAAGTTTTGTTTTCTGGTTTTTGCTCAGTGAAATTGACTTCTTACCATGTTTATAGCTCTTCTCTTTAATTTAAAACTTTGTAAACATACCTAGAGATGGAGTACAGATGTCTCTTAAAGCAGCAGTCTTAATTTTGTAGCATTTCCTCAATTCTGTAGGCAGTAATCTGTTCAAATTTGGTGAGGCTTTTAGGAAGACTGCATATGTATTGCCAAGATTAATCCCACTGTGTTTGCACAATCTTTTAATATGTTCTATTTTAATTCTAATTTGTAAATTTGGACTGTTTTATCGTGATATTTCATAAAATTTTATGAGAGAAATAGAGGAGAATATTTGGAAATGCTGCTAAACTATTTCTAAATTCAGATTAATGAAAATTATATCACTCTGAAGTTCGAAAATGTGTTTCTTGTATTGGTCTTTCACACCATTAAACTTAGTCAATGCATTGTACACAGCATATTGAATACTAAGTATTTTCAAAAACACCATGTCCCGTTTTATMATTTAAACATACGCTAATGTTAGAGCTGCAGTTTTTCACCATTATGAACTTCACTTGCATTTGAGGATTTTGAGTCTGTTTTTGCTGCTGCTCCAGTAAATCTCCTGAATGATAACACTGAAATAACCCTTACACAAGGATGGAGCTGCAACCTCATCTCCACTAACCGTGACAAACATCACTGTAATATTTACAGGGGGAAAATGTGCACCAAGGGTGAAATGCAGAGATGCATTAAAACATCAAACATTAAAAAAAGAAAGACAGTTGTAGCTGTTTAATTGCTTTGCTTAGAAAGACTAATGTAATGTCTGAGGAAGTAATCCCTAAATAAGTTAGAAGGTGAGATCTTTCAAAGGAGGGAAAAAAACAGGCATAGACCTGTTGGGGAATTCAATGATGAGACTGTCAAGAGCAGTAAAGCTGATGTGTTGTTAAATGTCTTTGGGAGAGATTTCTTGGGGTTCTGTGTCTTAATATAGCGAAAAGCAGATTTCAGTGAGTGGACATTTGGAATTATCCCATTTGAACCCAAAAGTTTCCTCTGACATAGGAGTTGGGTGTCTGTCAAAATGTGTGAATTTGCCTTCCTCTGAAGTATTCGGTGTAGAAATGAACATGGCTGTAAAGGATGGAGCACGGAAGAGGCCATCCCTCTGTGGTACTTAGCTGGTACATTCATTTGTGCAAAACCAAATATGTTGTGGCAGCTGGAACAGGATGGTGGAAGGGAAAAATCAGGAGAGCAATAGAGTGAGGGAAAAGCCACATCAGTGTGTGGTGGAGGGAGGTATTGGTGGGCTGTGGTGTGGGCAGGGAGGCAAAAACTGCGCTAAGGCCAGGTGGGTCTGACACCAGGGCTGTGAGAGGCGAATGGGAGATGGAGAAACAGGCTTAAGGCTTTGAAATGGGGGATGTCGAAGGGAGGATGGAACAGCAGGGATGCCCAGATGGAGCCAACTTCCACAGAGCTTTTTTGTAATATTTGGCTGCAGTCTGGAGCTTTTAGGGCTGCTTTTAGTGTGTAAGCGGCTGCTCCACATTCATTCCCCTGAGCCCCACGGCAGGGATTTCTGGTTGACAGCCCCTGCATCAAGGGAAAGGAGAACACTCTGGGGTTTCCCGGGCTACCAACCTTTCACTGGGGATGTTACTGCGGGGAGAGCGCTCGAGTTTGCCACTCCTGTGCCCCAAAGCCGGTGTTCTCGCCGTTCCCCCAGATCTGACACCCCCTCCCCCGATTGCCTGCGTCTGACTCATTCGCTGGTGCTTGTGCAAGAAGAACGGGGCGGGGGGGGGGAGGGGGGCGGTGGGAGAGAAGCTTTCAAACTATCCGCGGCTGGTCTCGGTTTGACAAGGCGGCCGTGAGCTTCGCCCCTGCAAGGGCGGCGGTGCCGGGGGCGGCGGAGCGGAGCGGGCCGGGCTCAGCCCGCAGCGCCGCGCAGGCGGCCCCGGGTGGAGCCCGCCGCACCTCCGGGAGCCCGCGCAGCCAGTCCCCGCCGCTTCCGAGGAGCCGAGAGCAGCGCGGGGGCTCCGTGCCTGCCGTCCTGGGGAACTGCTGCGGCAAGATCGCGATTTAAAAGAAAGGCAAGAGAAAAAAGGAAA